GACCAAGATTGCATAATTGACCGACAGATAGAAGATTATAACTAAGTTTTGGAACTAAAAGGGCATTTGGTAAAGTCAATGACTTTGTAGAAACATTACCAATGTGACTAACATTCATAGGGGAACCATCAACAGAATAAATATCAAGGAAGGAATTATTAGGTGACATTGAAGAGAAATGAGCAGTAATTGAAGACATATGGTTACAACAACCAGAATCGAAATACCAAGGTTTGGTACCCGGAGTAGTAAATAAGGCAGTAGGAGCATTAAAAAGATTTAATATCACATATTTTAGGGATTCAAGGTTGACATTAGGTTGTTCTATCACTTCTTTGGCAACCGTAGCAGTAGCAGGATGAGTTACAATCCTTTTAAAACTTGTCATATAATCAATAAACTCACAATACTGAAAAACTCTAAAAATATGGAGAAATAGATGCCAAGATCGAAATAACAAACCAACAAAATACTTAAGAAAGGGTTTGAGAATCGAGGATAAACAATCCAATATGTATGAGGAGATCTCAATGACAAAGTTTCATATTTGGAATGGAATTGAAAATCCAACTCCAAAAAACCCAACAGCGATGATAAGAGAAAAGAACCAAGAGTTTATAGCTCCAATACCATGTTAGAAACTAAAAAGAAGGAGAAATATCTAAAGAAAGGTTTATTGCTTTCTTGAATTAGATTGTATGTACAATGGCCTATATATAGATGTTTACAAAGAAAATATTCTAAGGTATAAAATGTATAAAGAGAATATTTTAAAGTATAAAATATTTACAATAATTCTAAATATAATTATGTTCATATCTTAACAAGCAGAATTCACTTTCATGAAAAGTGCACGTCTTCCTGGAGTACACACCCAAACTTATCTACTAAACATTAAACGCCTGCAATTTTTATGTTAATAATTAATCTCTTTACTATACCTAACGTAGCATACTAGATAAGAAAATATTGTAAAAAAGTGAGGGAAGTTGCATCTCTTCTTAGGTAAATTTTTACAAAACAATTTGAAGGTATTAGTAAAATTAACCGGGTTAAAAGACTTTTTTTAATAAAAATAGTCATAATCATATATTTTTATCATTAATATACATAGTAAAACTAAAACTTTATATTAATTTTACCAATTGTCTAATAAAAAATATCCATGTGTTCTAGATATTAAAATTAATTCTAATTTTTTTATTTTTCTAGGTAAATTAATGCATGAAAAATGCATTTAAGACTCCTTTAACCCTTTTAATAGAACCAATTTGATGTTGACTCTTAAAATATAAATTTTAGATAAAAATTTAATAATCTATATGAACAATAATTGAAATTTTTTTATCCCTATATATAGTGCTTGTCAAATGTTTTTATTTGATAAAAAAAATTTCAATTATTGTTTATATAGATTGTTAAATTTTTATTTAAAATTTATATCCTAAAAGTGAAAAAATCAAACTATATCTACTAAAAATGAATAGAGGAAATAGGTATTTAGTAAAAAATTTTATTTAACAATTTGAAATTAAAAGATAGTACTTAAGATTCAAATAGCTGACGAATTGAAAAAACTATGTTAGTAGCATTTTATATTAAATTACTAGTAGAATGGAATTTTTTAATTTTATTATCAAATTTATCAATTTTAATTTTTAAATTTTT